GTATTGCTACAAAGTTTGGACCATACTGATATTTCACAATGGTGGCTTTCTATCCATTTACATTAATAAACAAAGACAGGAGGTGGAAATTTCCTCTCCACCTTAGTATCTTACTAAACCACTTAGATGTCATTAGCATAACCCCATAAAAGGTTACAATTTATGCAGTAAAAAGTATAAAAGAATATGTGTAAAAGAGTGATCGGATTAAATTCATTGAAAGTTTTTAGAAAATAAAATAGTGAAGGACAAGGAATGTTTGGACAACAAAAATATAGACACTAACAGCGACAGCTGGAATTCATGAGCCATCTGATGCATGCAAGTTGGAGACCTAATTAAGGAAAACAAGTACGAGTACTCCTCAAATCATAACAGAGTGGAGAAAGGAAAAACTGGAAACAAACCAGAGCTGTATTTTCCATAAGCAAAGTAGATTACCACATCCTCTTTTTAATAATGATAAGCATCCATCAGTTGATCCAACCATGCGAGAATGTTGGGGATCTTCTTTTGATGCACCAAGCAGCACTTTTGGCCGCTTGTGTTTCTGAGGCTTCCTGAGTACTACAGGCAACTCATTGCTTTCTCGTTCACTATCACTTGCTTCCTGCAAGTTCAAAATCCGGATACAAGCAATCAGCTTTTGATTTATCAGCAGGCAATAAGACAAAATCAGGATTTACAGCAATTCTACTAGGTAAATCAAAATGCATCTTATAAAATGTTTTTCTGTAACCATCTAATTATCAGATTATGCAACTTAATAATGATAAAAAAACAAAATTTATGGCCCCTTCTTACTTTGAACACCCATAATGCATCAAATTATCTGTCTCATTTTCAGTCAATTGCTGTAAAGTATTCTCCAACATATCTGCTATAAGCACCATGGCTACCATAAATCTAAAAGCATCTGAATAATTAAATTTTCAATTTGCACTTCCCTGAACTCCCCTTCCCAGAGGGAAAAAAAAAAGGAAACAAGAACAAAAAAAAAAAAAAAAAGAACAATGAAGACAATCAGAAATTAAGTTGAACTTCCAGATGTCCAGATGTCAAATGCAATCATACCAGAACACTATAGTGATCAATCATCATAGCTATAAGCCCAACTACAGAAGCTGTTCCCTCTGGAAGAGACAAGTATGCCTGAAAACATATAGAACATGGAAGAGCGACAATGTTAATGAAGGACACCAAGACTAACTAAGGCTTCATCTACCATATAATAACCAAGATTTAACACAAGATACACATTACTTATTCTGACGATATTTTCCTTTTGCAAGTTGAAGAAACTTTTAAAAAAATATACCATCATTTTTATTAAGCTTTTATATTACCGCTGCAATCCCATAACATAGGCCCAACCAGGGGCCAAATAGTAGTGTCAAGTTGTCTGGAATCACTCTTCTTGCACTGCTAAGGCAATGCCCAAAATTTTACAATGACATCCACCTTTTGTCTTGAAATTTTGGGTTTTGTTACCTCATTGAATGACATGCGAATAAGAAACAACTTATATAACATTCAAAAGTTCACAAACTATTCAACAGCTTTAGACTACAAATCCAAAATTATAGAAACAGCTGAGTTTATGTCCTACTTCAGACACATCAAAATTCCACGAGCTAAGGTTCTTAACCATATTCTAAGGAAGCCCACCCAAATGTAATTCTTCCAGTAAAAATGTTCAATAGCATAACAAATTAGATACGAATCGTGTTCAATTAAGGACATTCGGCACCAAAGATTAAGAAGATCCCGATTCCAATAACAAAACCACATAAAAAAAATTCTCACGGCATGACAAAACTGTAAAGACGGAAACAACAAGAAGGACGTGTTAAACTAGCTGAACACCAGGTACCCGATTCATATTGTAAAGGGCCTCCACCATTTCCACAGATCTGTTGCGCACTTCAGCAGCTACCTGATCACCAACAACAATAAAAAATTAAGATGATACTTAAAGTGTATGATGGACTTAATTTGCACAAATTAAAGTTCATGGAAAATTATCATGCTGAATAGAACCAAAGAAAGTATAATGATGAAAAGGAGTCACGATAACACATAAGGCATACTTTCTTCCAGTTCGTTCCATTGTCCCGATATGCTTTGTAAAATCGTTCAAGTTCTGCCTTCTTCCATTGAGGTCCTAACTTATCAGACAATTTCTTCTTCTGGGAGAAAGCAACATAGTCAATGCATTAAAATATCATTATACATTACAAATTTTCTGAACAAAGAAAGTTCCTTGGAAACTCTTTGCCATTTGGTTAAGAGAAATATACTAAGTCTCAATTTTGCTATCATATCTATATCAAGATCAATGAACCACAAGGCTATGAATAAAAATAAATCAAATCTTAACATAACTCCGCAAGCAATTTAACTCAGCTAACAGCTGGATCATAAGGAATGAATCAAACCATTAAAAAACTGGTGTAAGTACACAAACAAATACAAAGCCAATTCTCACCCCATTCGCCTGCTGTTTACTTTTGCCTGAACTCTTGACTTCTTTTTCAGGTGATACCTCATTCAGAAACCGCTTATTCACACTTTTTTTCCTTGCTGGGGCCATGGAGGACCTATCTATCTGAAACAATCAATGAACAAATTAGCAGCACCAATTTGCTTAAAGCTTTAACATAGACATCAATAACCATCAACATTCTCAAAATACATTACATTAATAATAAAAATGTAAAACTCTTGGAAAAGCAAGAAGATCTTCCACCCCAGAATTTGAAACATAATACAGTCCAAATATTAAACTTTTTTCCTTTTTTTTTTCGGATACTTAGACTCGAGTTAGAGTTTACTAAGATGCACTAATTGTGGAGAATATTTTCCCACTCGGATTATATTTAAAACCTCATTCAAAATACCACAAGAATTCAACTTTTACAACATTACCAAAATCACGTCATTTTATCAAAGTATAAAAAGAAGCAAAATACATTAGCAAATAGAAACAGAGGAATCACAACAAAATACGCAAGGCTATTGAGGAAACACTTCAAAAGAGAATCGAAAGGAAATAACCACCCAGTGCCATTAACATATATCACAGTTTTCAATCAAAAAACAGAACCCCAAATTTCAAATTTTCAGAATTTTTTTTAAATGAATTTAAGAAACAACTAAAATAATTCAAAAGTAAACCCCCCAAAATTGAAAAAAGAAATCAAATTCAAAACATCACCAAAACCCAAAATTTCAAATTTGACTAAACTTCAAGCTACAATTCAAAACCCATCTCCAAGATCCCCTCAAAAAACAACGAAAACGAATAAAAAAACAAAAATCAAATTTCGAAACCAAAACAAAATTCCTAGTAAAGCCCCAACAAAAATCTCAAAATTACTCCTCTAAAAACCCTAATTCACAGATCCGAGACTGTACACTTACAGATTCAGAGTAATTGGTATCTGGGTGTAAATCATACAGTGAAACAAAGGTCTGTGAAGAGAGAAAAATGCAAGCTTTAAGTTTATGTGTTCCAGAGAAGGGTTTTTTTAGAGAGAGAAATAAAAGAGAATTTTCAAAGTTACGGAAAGAGAGGCTCTTTTAGAGAGAGAAAGAGAGATGTTGCCGCGAAACTTGAATATAAAGGTCCGCTGGCCAATCAGATTTTTTCTGTATATATTTTTTTTGTTTTGTTTTGTTTTTCTTGTTTTATACAGTGTTTTTTTGTTGTTAATCACCGTACACGTTGGTGAGTGGGGTATTGTATGGTATGATCTTGTGGTTATTGTTTGGGGTTTGAAGGGATAATTATAGCAGATTCAATTTGAAATTTTTTGTTGTTTGCTTGGGAATGGCCCCTGAATTTATGGGTATTTGTATTTGGTTACCGTAAAGTTTTAGAAATATGGGCCTCGAAGTTTTCTATTGAGAGATGGTCCCTCATTTGAATCTTCTCACGAAGTTTTTAAACCGGCACATTCCATGACACGCCGTGGGTAGGAGTATGGATTTGATAATTTAAAATTATATTGTTTTAATATTTTTAAAAAAAATTAAAATAATATTATTTTAAAAAATTAAATTAAATTTTGATAAGTTGGCTTGTATAGTCGAGTAAGTTTTAATTGAGTTAACTTTCAATGTAAAACTTGATTAAGATCAAATTCTTTATTAAGCTATGCATAAATTTATTAAAATTAGTTTTATTTAAAATTTGAGTTATAAGTTGAGTGGGTTAAATCAAGTCAATTTAAAATAAAATTATTTTAAAATTTAAAAAAATAAAATAAGTTTTATTTAAAAAAATAATTTTAATCAAGTTATGAAGTGACACAACCAAATCAATCAAGTTTTAATTAAATTAATTTTAAACTCGTTCTTAATTGAGTTTTGAATCAATAATTTAACAAGAAAACTTATTAAATCATAAAAGATTGAATAACATTGGTTATTCAATGCCAAAGCATGTGGATGATAATGAGTTTATTTTATAAAATTGTATGACGAACACCTATTTATTTGTTGAGAAATTTAAGCTAAATTGAATAGGGAAGATTAAGAGGCAAATAAAAAAAAATGCTTTCTATGCAATCCTTATATGAAATGTAAAGGAAATTTGATTTAGTTCAGAGAGGAAAAAATACCATAAAAAATCAATACTAGTGCAAGAATCTTGGAAGTCATCTTATTAATACATGTATGGTGATATTTTTAAAAAGTATTTTTTAATTAAAAATATATTAAAATGATATTTTTTAAAAAAATATTTTTAATATTAATATATCAAAATTATTAAAAAAATATCAATTTAATATTTTTCAGATAAAAAATAATTTAAAAAACATGAACAAACAAAATACCAAATAGAAACTTATTATTGAACTAATAAACTCCTCCATAAATTAAAAAATATTTTTAAAAATATCAATTTAATATTTTTTCAGATTAAAAAACAATTTTAAAAATAGAAACAAACAAAATACCAAATAGAAACTTTTTATTCAACTAATAAGCTCCTCCATAAATTTATTTGCCTTCAACACTTATTCTCGAAAAAGAATAGAAAGGACACCAAAGCACGAGGCTCCAGCTCTTCGCTCCTTGCCATCCCCAGCATTTTCAGCCCTGCCTCGCTACACACCATCCTCATTGTGCGCGCAAGCTGGCCCGGACACCCAACCCTCATTGTCAATGTCAATAGGAACCTATTTTCACAATAGAAACCTATTTTCAGGAAAAATAAAAAATAATTATAAGCTAATTCATTCCCCCCCATAAAAATGATAAATATTATTAAATTCATCAATAAAAAAATTTACTGATTTGTTACCTTTTCAATCAGTAAAGCTAAGATCCCATTTGGACCTAGATCGGCATGGTAAAGCGACCAACAAGCAATTTTGTCACCAACCTTGAAGTCACTCTTCACAAGAACTTCAGCCCAAGCAATCTTTTCCAGTCGAAAATCCTTGATTGCCCTATCATAGTAAATTGCCACCCAGATCTTATTCCTTGGTGGTGTGTAGATCTCAATTTCTAGTCCTTTGATGCCAATTTCATCGAGCATTGGTTTTGGTAGGGTTGTTAAGAAGTTTTTTGAATCTCCAACAAGAACTAAACCTAGCATGTCATCTTGAGTCATGGTTCTTGTGAATAAATGTTCTAGCTCCCCACCATTTGGATAGTGTTGAATGTGGTTAGGTTGAGGAGTAGCCATGTTCTTGAATTAGGTTTTTTTTTTTTTGGTATATTACCCTCATGATTTGAAACTAAATATAAGCAAAATGAATGTTAAAATAGTTACGTTCGTGTCAAATTGCTAACATAATGCATGACTAACACATAAATTGTGAAGGCAGGACACATAAGTCATGACATATATATGAACAAACATGCTGAGAATATTTATAGTTTTTAATTTTTTATTTTATAAATAATAAATAGAATATAAATATAATAAAAACATGATCTATGAATAGTATATTCAATCTTCATAGAACATTACTAAAAAGACATTTGTTTCTTCAAGATCACTAAAATTACAATAAAAAATTCCCTACTAGTAGTATATTTGACAATAAATAAAATATTTTTTATCTGAAATAAAAAAATATTTTTAAATTTTTAACAATATCTAGAAAATATTTTTTTATCTAAAATAAAAGAAAAAAAATTAAATTGTTAAGTTGTAATTTTAACTTGCGGGTCAACTGCTTTTATTTGAAAGCCCATCCCCGTTTAGGTTTTGGATCCTAAATTTTTGAATCGACCCGTCATGTCGCGCTAAGTTTAACAACCATGTTCTTAACTAATCGATGGTTTCAACTTCGCCGACATGTCAATTAAAGATTCAAGATTTAGTACTTGCGAGGCTATATATAATAATAATAAAAAAAAATGGTTGCACTTCCATGTTCTTGATTTGGTCCTATTTCAAAATCATTAAACATAATAATAAAAAAAAAAATATGCAACCAGTAGTTTTTTTCTTTTTCTTTTTTGACTCCCTGGATCTGCTGTCAAGGTACATGGGCTTATTTGAAGTGGAATAACCTGACCACACAAATGTAGTGATACAAAATGCATATGCTCTACCCAGGATAGAAAATGCAATTTTCTGAGTATGAAAATTCAGATTTTCTAATTCTATGAGTATTTATGAGTGTAATAACTTTTATTTTTTGATCTGTTTCACTTGAAAAAATATAAAATTTATATTTTTTTAATATTTTTTAATAGTTTTGATATGCTAGTATTAAAAATAAAAATATATAAAAAAATTATAAAAAGTATAATGCACCGCAATACAAAATACACATTAAAAACAATTAATATATTATTTGATGAATCTAAGCATTAAAACATGATTGATCATGATTTATCATTCATGGGTGATTTTTTTTATTTTATTTTAAAAATTACCTATAATTATTATCTTGTAAAAATTTCAAAAAAAAAAAAAGACTAAATCTGTCATAGTACTCGCATGAAATAGAATTGTATTAGTTGCCATGGCTGCATGTCGCTGCGGATATATGGCATGCTTGTATATTATTATAGGTTTATAAAAAAAATTATAATTTTTTTATAAAAATTATAACCAAAAAATCATATAGTATTTAAAAAAAAACTACAAACCTAAATTTCCAACCAGCTCAATATAAAAAAAAAATTCAACAAAAATAATTTAAAAAATCTATAAAAAATATGTAAAGAAACATCATAACAAGAAAAAATTATATGGAAAAATACTGTAGTAATTTAATTTTTTTTTAAAAAACTATAAAGCTAAATTATTAACCAATTCAATATGAAAAAAACTAAAATTGATAAAGACAATCCTGAAAAAAAAAAAAAACAAAGATAAGAGAAAAAAATCATATGGAAAACACTGTAGTAATCAACAGTGTTTTAAAGAAAAAACTATAAAACTAAATTTTTAACTAGCTAATATTAAAAAATAAAATAAATAAAATTATTCTAAAAAAACAATTTTGGGAAAAAAACATGTGGAAAAGACTAAAGCTAAATTTTTAATCAGCTCAATATTAAAAAAATAAATTCTCGCGCCACTTTGGGGTTGGGCATGAACGCATCCAGCCCCATTTAGGAATGGTCGTAGACGCCTTTAGGCCGAATTTCGAGTCAACCAAAAACAATTAAGTTTTTTTCTAAGATCCAAGTGCTAGGTGGCCCTCAAGTCTGGTTTGAGCAAGACAGTGCTACTTATGAGCCATGTGGTGCTCGGGTTTGTCCAAGTGCCACATGGCGTTTAGGTTGTCATAGCCAACCAGGTAGCTGAAGCGTTGGCTATTCATGTGTGGGCAATACCAGCACCAGGTGCTTGCTCCCCGTGCCCTGCACCCCCATTAAATTTATGCTGATCATTTTCTCCTCAACCATCTCTTCAATATTAAATAAACCCCAATAAAAAGACAACTTTATCCCTCGCTTACTATCTTTGCAACTCTTTATGTTAAGGATTGAGCTATCATTACATTGCTTCAATTCACAATATTTTGTGTTTATGTAAATAGTAACAACAGTATTGGGTAGTATTATACTGCTTCAATTTAGTTTATAATTGGTCTCGTTTTATCTTTTAATTGAGGTTATTATGGTCTCAAAAAAACATCTTGATACTGAGTTGATATTTAATTTCACAATTGTTTATTTTCATTATCATATAGTTAAATAAAACAATAATTTTGAAAAAAAAAATTATAATTCCAATGGTGTCCATAACTCGGTTCACAAATTTGACATGCTAGCTTGGGTTACCCGATTCACAAGTTTGCCCAATAATATAATATGTTTTTTTTTGTTTTGGTCTTTTAATTTTATTTTATTTTATCCTTCAATATTGAGTTGATTGAGAAATAAATTGCATGATTGATTTTTGTTTGCTTTCTACGAGGATAATTGTCTCAAATAAATATCTATTTTTAAGTTGGTATTCAATTTTATGAGCAATTATTTTTATAATATAATTAAATAAAAATAGTTTATAATTTTTACCGATTATTAATGTTGTATTTAAATTTATAAAATTGATCGATTTAAATCGAGTTAGATAAAGAGCTCAGTTAAATTTTTTTAAAATTAACCCAATTGATCATGACATTAAAAGGGATAATAACTTATCTCAAATTCAATAAATACTACATTACTAAACCTGATCCAAAACTTAATTTAATATATATAGAGGTGAAGCAAGAAAAAAAAAATCAAGGGGAGCTAAATTAAATAACGTTACAGGAGGGATTTTTTTTCTGAGACTTTGTTTCAAGGAAAAGGCTGGAGAAAATTTTCCTTACAGGGATTGGGGCTCCTACCAACCCCCCGTCTCCGCCACTACATATATATATGTATATGTATATATATGTATATGTATATATATATGTATATGTATATGTATATATATATGTATATCTATGTATGTATGGACACACATGCGAGAATATTTATAATTTTTAATTTTATACAATGTCTATATAAAATAATAAATAATAATATTTGGGTAATGAAAATCAAAATAAATACTTGAAACTATATATATATATATCTAAAATTTTCATTTTATAAATAATAAATAGAATATAAATATAATAAAAACAAGATCTATGAATAGTATATTACTAAAAAAACATTTGTTTCTTCAACAACTCAAGATCACTAAAATCACAACAAAAAATTCCCTACTGGTGGCTTATTTGACAATAAAGATGGCTTAGCCAGTTATAATTGTTTTCCTTATTTTTTAAAATATTAAATAACTATATTATTATTTTTGCTTTAAAGGAGTGTGCTTGCCTGGTGATTGATCACTGTACACGTGTTAAGTGGAGTTCCTGTATGGAATGATCTTTGGATGGTTTTGATACGAGTGAATAATTATACCATATTTAATTTGAAATTTCGCTATGCAATGATCCCTGGATTTATATGTATTGCATTTATCTCCCTAGAGTATTGATAATTAACGACTTTAACACTTTGTATGGAATTTGGCATTACTATAAACTGAGGACGTGGCAAAATAATCACCCTACGATTGGTATTAAACTACGATCACCACAGTATATATTTTCTCATGTTATTTTTTATTTATGTATTCAAGATATTGATGGTAAAGGTCAAGAAAAAATTATGAAGGCAATTAACGTTATCTACAATGATATTAAATTAGGTATATAATCTCATTATCAAGAAAAGTATGCGTATAATCCAATCAAAAGAGTTATAAATATATAATCTCATTATTATTATTATTATTTTCTCATGGTTTCTTGGATATCAATTGTAATATTTTAGTCGATTTATTTTCTTTTTCACTCTTTGATTTTAGAAGTTAGATTTTTTTTATTGTCACTATTTTTTTTATTTATGTGGGATGTCCGGGTCAGCTTACACACACCACGACTAATCCCTATGGCCCACTGAACATCCTGCAAGCCCAATAAGCAGGTAAGGCACTGCAGGGGTGACATACGTGCGCGATAAGACTCGAACCCAGGTGCAGAGGAAGGGGACAAGCCCCTCCCACCGCTGGGCTAGAACCACTATTATTGCCACTATTATTTATAAAAGGATTGCTTGATGGTACAGATGCCACATTAATTTTGAAAATTAATAAAAATTAATGGCTTGGCATTGTCAATTGAGTTTGTCAAAAACATGCATGCATGTATTACAAAACTACTAACACGAAAACTTTTAATCATAACTGTTAGATTTAGGGTGTGTTTGTTTTTACAATTAAATCTATTTTTTACTTAAAAATCATCAAACTAATGATTTTTAAGTGTTTTTGGATGGATTTGATACATATAAAAAAATATTATTTTAATGTTTTTTATTAAAAAAGACCTTTTCAAAAATATTTTGCACTGCATTACTAAATATACAATTAGATCATGTTTGTCTACTAAAAAATAATTTTATTTTGGAGAGTGATTTCCATGCAAAGTGAATTGTGGAAAAGTGAGTGTTTTTTTGGTAATGCAATGAAAAATGAGTTTAAAAATATTTTCTAGTACTTGGTTATATCATAAAAATGAACTGAAAAATAAAATTTTAATATTTTATTAAAAGAATATGAAACAAATCCAACAAATAAAAAAAGTTAAAGGACGATGAAATTTTAAAAATTCAATTTTATAAACTATTTCTAACAATAATAATTAAAAGAATGGAGACCAAATCTAGAAGATAAAAACATTGAAAAATAATAAAATT